ACGAGAATCAAAATCCAAACATGTCACCCTCAAAATACACTGCACTCAGCAGCACTTCAAGGCAGACTGAGGAACCCACTAAGCTCACAGTCCTTGGAAATCCCAGGATTCCCCGATGAAATAGGAAAGTAGCCTATGTTGAAAAAGTTAAACATGATTAGTATCCATAAGTATTATCTCCTGAATCCCACCTCCCTAAAAACAACAAAAACAATCCAAGCTTCTGTGTATTTTGCTATCACTAAGAATAAATGAACAAATCAGAAAAATGGTCATTTCTTGGGGGGGGGGACCCCCACACATTATTTGACTGAACACTTATCCATTTGAATATAGTATGACTATATGACTACAAAAATGATTAAATAAGTGACTGAAATCCACAAAAGCAATCTAAAAAGTACATATCAATATGTATTCATAATATTTCAGGACATTTTTTTTCTCCAGAAAAAGAAGACACTACCACTGTAATTGTTTGACTACAAACACTACTAATTTATGAGGTTCAATGTCATGCAACCTGTTTGAAAGTTTCCTTTACCCATAAAAAGTGCCCATAAAAACACAGGCATGTACTATTTGATACATACATAGGGTACCAAATACAAAGCCTACAACACAGAAACAGTACATTCATAAAATTTTAAATGAAAAATGAGATCTCCATTACAAAGACAACCAATGTGAAATCTATTTAGCTTTGGTAAAGAGACAGTGACAGAAGATATTGCACATACGCAGTGATTTCTCCTGAATTTAAATATTGCTTTTTCATGCATTTAACTGTTCTCTTCATTGCTCCTTGGTATAAAATACGTAAGGAATCAGTGAAGCTGACGGGAGGCAACTCGGCTGCATGCAACTTGCTGACGGGTTTTCAGTTACTTTCTCTCTAAACAAGTTGCCTTTCAGTTGTTGGTAGCAACTAAGACAAGTAACCCCTGGACAGGGTTGTAGCTACGTACAAAACACCATAAACCCACATTACACTGCAAAACTAAAATTCAGATTGTGTATTTTTTTTTTTTAAATCCCAACACACTGGCTATATCTGGGAGATGAACAAACTGCGTGTGAAAGACTTGCAAAGATAGCATTATTACTGAAACCAGAAAATAGTGACACACTGGAACAAAAACTTAAATGAAGTGCTTCCTGAAGTGGATAACTCCCTTTTCGCCCAGACATTCCAACTCTCTGCATAACGCAGACTGGCAAAACCGCCAGCGGTCCTCGCATATCCGAGCAGCCCGCGCGGGATGCGACCCTTCCCCGGGCAGCTCCCGCCACGGACGCCCGAGGACGGCAATTTCCCCCCGGAGCGCGCTCCCATCCCGCGGCTTCTGCCAAGGCTCCAAGAGCCGGAGCGCAGGGCGGGACACGCGCGGGGCTGCCTCTCGCCTCGGGGGCTGCCCCGCGCGCGCGGAGCCGGCGCCAGCGGCGACCGGGAGCGGCGGG